CAGTATTTGCCATTTAATGCTTCTGACATGGTAGGTTACAGGCTACTGAATAACCGTTGGATAACTGTTGAACTTTCTTCGTAATCTGTAACAATACTTCAATTAATAAGTTTTTCCTTTAGAATGATATTCAGGAAGATAACTGATAAAATGATAGTAATATTCTTATGGTAGGATAGAAGCAAATCAATCAAACATCAGATCTAATATAACTATTGGTCAACCTTGATCAACCTTGATCAAAGACATGATCGATAACTTGTCTATCGATTACGTTATCGATTAATTAAGATGAAAGATTTTGAAACATATAGCTATATTTATTGATTACGTTATGGATTAACTCATGATCGAACAAGTAATCGATAAATGAAAAGAATGACTTCACCAAGATTATGTAGAGAAGAGACCCAAGGTTAATTATGATTTTGAAACACTTGAAATAGAGTACTAAGTTATTTAGCAAGGCTGAGAAAAGCTCGAAGAGAAATATTCAGAAGATTCTTAGATTCACTACAGCTTCTGGTATTGAAAGTATTGGATCAATGATCAAATAATTGATCGAAAAGTGTTAGATTGATCAATTTATCAATAAAGATAAGCAAGAGTGAATTTGATTTTCAAGGTACATTGATCAAAAAATTTATCGATAAATGGATGATAGAAAACTTGATCGATAAAATGAAGTTTATCAGAGATTTTCATAAAGAACACATATCTTAAGATGATCGAGTAAGTGATCGAATAAAGTTTGACTGATCAAGTAATCGATAAAAAATGTAGTTGAAAAACTCAATTCTGAAATGCCAGGAAATGTTTGATCGATCATGTTACGTGAAAATAGAATATTCAGATGATTGAATTATCGATCAATTTATTCAAAAAAATGATGATCAATCAAGTGATCGAAGAAGGACTTAAATAGTTTAAATCAATAAAAAGGTAATGATCGATCATTTGATTGATAAACGGTGGATCGATCAATTCATCGATAAAGTAATTTTCAAAAATACTTAACTAGAAGAAAAATATCGATAAGATGCCATGGTATAGTAAAATACCATAAAGACGAGTATATTGTCATAGCATTATTATGAGAGAATAGGCCTAAAGTATCGGAAGAATGTGAGCAATGATGATAAAATACGTAGAAATAAAGGCCATGCTCGTATAAATGACAAAAAGTAAGAAAGAGAGAACTATGTGAGCATGAATCCCAGGATTGGAACCTGGCAATGAGGTATAATGAAAAGTTAAAGAGGCCAAGTGGAGTACAAGTAGGGAGATCCTCCCTAGTTAACCTTTCTTCAAAGATAAGAATAAAGGTTTGACCCAAAAATTTTGAGAACGAAATTTATTTAAGTGAAGAAATGTCACATCCCGAGAAATTTCACCTGGACATAGGAAGTTAAAAAATGGAATAAGGGCCAATGTAGAAATAAGACAGGGAGATGAAACAACTTTTGATGTGAAACCCCAATAAGGGCCGAACTGGTATTTTCGTAATTATTGGTTTAGGAAGGGTAAAATGGAAAATTTTGAAAAAATTCTAGAAAATTCCTAAAAAATAAAAAAAAGTAAATTAGAGGTTTTGGAGCCTTGAAGGAGGCCCTAAAGGTGAAAATTATGGAAAAATGAATTTTTATAAAATTTCCCAGATACGGAGGTTTTTAGAGAAAACAGTGGAAGATTGAGGGAAAATAATTATTTTAAATAGCTAGAGGCTTCAATAATTCTGAAAAAAATATGGAAAAATCATCTGAATATTTTTTAAAATTTATAAAATTGGTTTCATGCCTTGGAAGGCTCATAATTAATTTTAGGGAATTTATTTTCTCGTAGTTACACAGCTAGAGGCCTAATCGGGGAAATTCAAAATAAATACCTAGAGGTGGTAAAAAATTATGAAAATTTCCAAATAACCTTCTTATATTAAAAGGTGAATTATCACGGAGAGAAAAAAAATTTTGAAGGCCTAGAAAAATTACAAAATGTTACAAGTGAATGGTAACCGAAAAAGTTTCGGAATGGTTTGGGATTGTGACTTGGTTTGTGGGCATCTTTTTGAGGCATCCTAAACCATGTGTGGGACCCACATTGGGGCTGGAATTAAGACCAATTTCATGAATAATCTGGACTCTTCATTAAATATTAATAAAATTCAATTTTTGTATAAATATTAGTAGGAAAGTTCCGGGGACAGGACACTTGGCATGATCTAAGAATTTGAGGCTTGGATGGCAGCCACATGGCCACTTTTGCTGGCTAAATTTCAGTCATTGATCAAGGGGAGAGGCCAGATTTATTTCTCTATAAATACCCCCTCAAAATACACAAAAATAGGTAGAAAATTAATAAAATAAGGGGAGGTGCTGCCCATTTCGTTTTTGGAGCTAGAGACTGAATTTGATAAGTCCTTTTGGGCAAGAAATCATTAAGCTTTAATCAAGGATTCACCAAGATATGTTTGAGCTTTGGTTTGGTTAAGGTTAAAGCTTGTTTTGGTTAGGAAATTGAATTACTTTTGGAGGTGTTTTGCTGCCATAAATTTAGCTAACATGCTTATGCTTTGGGGAAAGATAAAAACCTTAAATATGATGTGGAATAAGCATGTTTAAGTGGTGTATGGATTCATTTTTGGAAGAAAATCAACCTAGGCTTCAAGACACATCAATTTGGCCACTATGCTATCTTGTGATAGGAGTTTGTTTTGATGTGTTTTGATGATTCTAATGAGTTTAAAATGTATTTTTGTGTAGGAATATACTAAAAGGAAGTGTTTGAAATTATTGGAATCAAAAAAGAGAATTTTTGGAAAATATGGACCCCAATTCAGCCAAGCTTAAATAAAAGGGAAGGAGTGTGATTTTTATAAATCTAACTAGATATTTGGATTCTACACAAACAATTGTGTGGAAATGGAACCAAGAGATTGATGGAAACAAAGAGGGAATAATTATGTCAAAAATTAAGGAAAAATTGTGTGCGATTACATGTCTCATGGTTGAGAAAAGCTAGATGAAAGGAAAAGAAAAAGAAAAGACAAGAATGATATGAAAAATGAATAAAAGTTGACTTTTTGGGGAACAAAGTTTGACTGACGTGATTTTGAGTAATTAGATGAATCTGGATCTAAAATTTGACATACTTATAGATCTCATTTTTAGCTTTAAAACAAGTGATAATTTATTAAATTTAAAGTTTTGTATAGAAAGTATGCCCTTCCAAAGTTGGACATAAATCCAGAAAAATTAAAAAATGACCAAATGAATAGTACTAATTTGAATGAAATTTGGGGTTGATGCATGAGATCTGGATACTGATGATTATTTTTTCTTTAAAGAGCATGTCAAGAGCTTTCTATAGAGCTTGGAACCACTTCGTTTTGATTTTTCTATAATTAGTTATGAATTTTCAAATTTGACCAAAAATGCTGTGAATAGTGAATAGTAACTTGGAACCAAAGTTGAAATTTTGAAATTTTTCTCACATTTAAGACTTATATAATAGTTCTGAATGATTCTAATTGTTATATAATAGGGTGCTAAAAGAGTTGTGACACAAGATACCTAAAGAAAGGTTTTCAAAATATGAAGGCTAGACTTGAGAGTACGGGCTAATCTGCAGGCAACAAGTTAGCCTGCCAGTCAAGTAGTGCGGTTGAAGTAATTTGCACCCTAGCAGGTTGTTAAAATACCAACCCAAGCCGTCATAGCAAGTTGGTAGGCCAACTTGCCTATATATATATATATATATATATATATATATATAGAAACATTGTTTTTATTTTTAATGTCAACCAATGTTTTTTTTTTTTAATGTCAACCTACGAGTTGTGACTAGCTCTCTTTCAATAAACATATTCTCATGCATCTAATATTTTTAAAAAATTATTATTATTGACTAATTAAATTATTATTTTCCTTTTAAAAAAAGTATTATATAACACAAAAAAGGGATGGGTACTGTGTGTTTTTTAGCAGCGTTCATGTTAAAGTAAAAGAGTAAAAAGAAGAATTTTATTTGCACAGAAAATAAAACAAAATTATATTTGATTTTTTTCAAAAAAATCAAGCTAGGCAGGTTAGGCCGCTATAACCTGTATGTTACGTGGTGTGGCATGACATTCAGACCTTTATATTACTAGCTCTGCTCTTTTAAATTCGAAGCTAGCATCAAAATTATAGAAGTTATAAGGGTAGTAGTCAACATTGGAAGAATATACTTGCCTTATGCTTATATTCTAGGCACCTTTATTCATGTGCGTATTATGAGCATTATTTGCAGCATGATGTTCCTCATTATTCACATGTACATTAGATGGATTAGGCATTTTAACATGATTCCTAATGAAATGATTATCAAGACTCACCAAAAGAAGGTCTATAATCAATTTCATATGCGAGTTCACAAGAATGAAGTGATTGTATAGTGGGTATGTTGTACGTGGAATGATCAAAGTGTACAGCACTTGTTCCTTCAACTTGTTTAGCTTTCCTTAGGTACTTAAAGTGTTTTATTTTTTTTCCTCTATCCATCAGAAAGAGATTTTGATCATGCATAAACAACTCATTTACTATCTCATTTTTTACCTTCACACTTGTGATCTACATAGGGTTTATACTAATTTATTGTCTATGAAAAGTGATTCATAATGTTTGGTTTGTAATAACTTATTAGATTGGAGAACCATTATAGGATATTATATAATAACTATGAGCTATGAAGGGATAAACATTTTGATTCCGCAGGAAATTACACCTTTTGATTTATCTATGCCTTTTGCTTTATACAAAAGGCAATTCCTAATAATGCCTTCTTTTGCAATGACCATAAATAAAAGTCAAGGCTAGATGATGCTTAATATAAGCTTATATTACCACATTCAATCTTCATGTATGGCTAGTTATATGCTACAATAACACGTGTAGGATAGAAAGAATGGTTGAAGATACTGATCTTTGATTATGAAGGCCATCTAACAAACAAGACATCCAATATTGTTTATAAAGTGATTTCCTGAAGTATAATTCAACTTATCATTCCATAATAATTCAACTTTCCATGCTACATATAGAGCCACCCATTCATGCCCAACTATCGCATGGGTCATGTACTAGTTAAATTACAATCGTGAAACTTAGCATCAATTAAACAGGCCAAAAGGGAACAAACTTTAAATCCATCACATTTCCTTAATGGTATTGACAATGGTTTTCGGACTCAAAGTAGCATCAACTTTAAGTATTCCCTCAGACTCATCAATCTCTAGCAAGTCTAACTGAGATTGCAAAAGAGACGCGGGCATAAAATGGCTTCCTTTTGCAGCTCGTTCAGTTAAACGATCTCTTAAAACTTGAGCAGGTAAATCTAACAGAACAAAACTTACAGCACTGGCATAACTTCCATGATTATAATTAGGGTCAGCAGATCGAAGTATTTCTCTATATTGCTTCTTCAAAGCAGAGCAACTCAGAACCACATCCTTTTTGTTTGTCAAGTGTTCTCTCAAATCATTGCATAGTGAATTAAGCCATGGAATCCGGTCTTCCTCTGAAAGCGGGATTCCCATACGCATCTTATCTGTTGCTACAAACAAAATGAAGTGAAAGATTGCTTGATAGGAAGAGAAAAAACAAAAAATATGGAAAAGGATAGCAAGAGATCTTTGATATAATCAATAAAGAACTTCTATTATCAGTTAAAACTCTAAGCTTTATCAATTGTATACCTTTGTTTGACTGGGAATGAAAATCATCAGCATCAAGATAATTGTAGTTCAACTCCGTTGCCAGCATTTGACCTATTGTGCTATTGAGTAAATATTTAGTAGATGAGTACACAAAACTTAATAGGGCTACTGAGCAGTATAATTATAAAAGAACACGTTAAATGTTCAACATATTTCAATTTCAAATGAGTCGTACAAGTGAGCCATATTCAAGAAAGGTTATGCTTTTTTTTTTTTTGGTAGATGTTGAATAGAAACGCAATCTGACACGCCAAAGTAAGAGACAATAACAAACCACTAGCATTCTTTTCACCAAGTTCACGAATATAAGAACAAAAGTTCATTCTTGAGGAACCAATCTACGTTATTTTGAAAATTCATATGTGCTTGTCTAGAAAGTTAATAGGAAAAGGGTACAGTCAAACATGGAGTTTATACTAATCAATAGAACAAATATCCTGTTCTTCTATTAGGCATATCTTGAACCTAATAGCTTCTATCAATAGCATGCCCCTGAGTTAAAATAAATGACATTTGATTTACAATAGAGATTTCTTCATAATTAATCAACAAATTTCCATCTAAAATATGGCTTGAAATATCAAGATTTCGTATAACTTTTAAATAGCATAGTGGAAAGTCATTTGGAAGCAAAACACTAAAATAAAAAAAGGAGATGAAATGACAAAATGACATAAATGGAAACACCACATTGTTATAAATAATCAGATGGTGCATAATATAAACTGTCTCACTGATGATAAACTAAAAGGGTGTATAAATAACGTGGACACAATGGTGTTTTTGGCTGGACAATCCATGATTAAGACAATAAGCTATGCGGTTTAGTTTTAAATTAAAATCGTTAGAGTTGAGTGATTTGTCACTATTACCTCAAACACAAAGCTATTGCATTTTTTGTGGCTGAAGTTACCTTTCCTTTCAAAATTATTAGTTAATACCAGTTATAAGAATGTTAGCAAATAACAGAAGATAGTTTCCTTACCATCACTTTTAATCTAGTTGCACTTTCGCATCTTATAAAGTTTTCCATCACTAAAATCCAACACTTTCTCAATAAACCATTTTTCATAATCTCTTGAATTCAATATATTTTGTAAAATAATTTTTTATGCATATGGAATGAAGATGTTCACAATGCCAAAAACTCTCAGGAAACCTATTGATCTATTGAAGGTATGAGATGAATATTCAAATCACAAAAGTTTTGGCAGCTAATAATCTCACAAAATTATCAATTAGCAAACAAAATCCCGTTTATGTTATCTATGAAACAAATAAAGTGGTTTAGCCATGGACAGATTTATAAAAACACTGGCTTCTAGCTCTTTCAAAGCTAGTAGATTTTTCAAAGACATGAAACAATTAAAAATGCCAATAAACCTACAGATACCACGACACTCCTAGTGCTCAAGCAAATTTAGATCCTCATGAGTACTTCACCATGGCGAAATAGATAGATTGGGCATAATAGTTTATCCTCTTGACATAATTTCATATATTTGGCTCGACTCTTGTTGCTTAGCAAATATTGAGTGATTAGAGAAGTGAGATTAAAGAAACTTAAAATTTAAATCTAATAAATTGAACTATGAGATTCAAATTCGTTCACAAAGAAGATAATTTGCAACAAGGGTCGATGCTTACGTTTTTCCAGAACCACTAACACCCCAAATTACGATAGCTTTACCTGCGACAAAAAATAAATCAACTGTATCCATTGAATAGAATGTATTCTTTTAATTTCAGCATTAACTGAAATCACATACCGTTGTTGGAAGCCATTATCGATGAGTACTTACAATAGTTGAAAAACCTTACGACAAAGTTGAGACTTGATACGGTAAACTTCTTGCTGGTAATACTCTATCAATGCCTCAGGATGTGCCACATAGCCAATACCCACTAGAAATGATCTAGTTTCCCCTGTAAATGAAAATGTATTATTAATCCTATGAAGAAAGAAATAGGAGAACACGGTAAGATGAAAGTATCTAGCAGGATATGGCTAATCACACTTTATTGCTGGATGTTGGATTTCATCCACTAACAGATGCATTACAAAAGATTATGAAGGAGGACCATTTAGGAGTACGAAGAGCTCGATAACCCATGCTTAATTGTTTATTTTTAGATTGTAGTGTTGTACTTCCCTTTTCAACCCCAAAAAGGCAAAACATAAAAAGAAAATTCTATTTGGATGTTACATATCCTAAGGCATACAAAGATGAGGCAAACATACGATTTATAAATTAGTAATGTTGTTTGCTTGCATGATATTTTTTTCCTTTTCAAATTTAAGTGTAGGCTGCCTGAAAAAGATATTTGGGTGTAATGTTTTGCTTTAGAATCATCACAATCACCAAGGCCCTCACTAAATGGCATACATATAAGGCACATAGGTCTATCTTTCCCTATGAGTGTAACATCCTAATTTTTTATCCCTAAGATTTAAATAAATTTATAAGTAAATATTTATTAAAATCAATTTAACAAATGTTAAATATATATATATAAGCAATTAAAATAATTATAATTAGACGTATGTGTGTATATGCATAACTATATATGTATATGAATCAGTGAATAAAATAAGAAGGTTGAGAAGTCCTATATCAACTAAATGATAGGAAGATAGGGTTCTATGAGCTTATATATGGGTGGTAGTAGGGGAGAGTTAAGAATAAGTTAAATAATTTTTACATAAAACTAGGATGGTCTCTGTAAAGTTTTGTGTGCAAGTTTGTAAACGGTTGGATCAGGCTTAAATTTGGTCTACCAATCTGAGACATCCAAGTCATTGATTTCAACAGTGGGATTATTGATTCGATCTCTAAGGTTATTAGGTATGCATTGAACTCCTTTTTCTAGATTTTTTGCATAAAACCTTGAGTAGTAAATTATGTTTTTAAATTTGTTCAGCATTGGATGGATCTACAATTTGGATAATAGACTCAAGACATCTAAGACGTTAATTCAATGGTTAGATTAATACTGAACTTTCATAGTAAGAATAATTTAACTTGTATTAAATTTTTTTGTCTGAAATATTCGAAAATAAAACATAGGCTATAAATTAGGGGTTTTCTTCCTAGGTTATGAATAAATTATAATTGATTATTCTAAGATATAATCTAGTAATTTAAAGATAATATAAGCTAAATAAACTTAATATCACTATTCTTACTCCAAACCTTAGAAAAATTGTACTAGCTAGAATTCTGAGTAACAATTCGAAAACTTTAGAAAGGGAGTTATGGATTGAAATTTAATATGTAGCTTACCTATAAGATATTATAGTAATATATACGTTTTACTTGTAGATCTGAAATATGGTTTGATGACCCCTAGTTCAGGGTCTTGATTTTTGACTCATAAGCACTTGTTGGATACTGGATAACATGAATTCTTACTTGTTTCTTCTATTGGTTCCTCCTCTATGAGGAGTTTTTAATTAAATTGAACTCTTTAGAATAGACTTTGAATAATATGGAATAGAAAAACTGCTTTGAAATTTTGCAAAATTTTTTAGAAATCTGGGACTTGCTTGGTGGGATTGATTTGTGAAAAAGAAATCAATTGTTACAACTTTAGGGTGGATAGAAGCCAAACAAATAATTTTTGGATGAAATTATAGAATTATGGCGTACTATATAGTTTGCTATGACAAAAGGTCATTTGTTCATCATAGCGAAGTCTCCAAGCCCTTAATTTTATTTGACTATGTTTTGTATATTAGCATGAGTTTTTGGGATAATATGGTTATGCCTTGATTACTTGAAAATATTAATGTATGGTATGATATTAATTATCTGATATGGTTGAGGTATGTTTTGAATCTCATATGATACATGTTTTTGAGATCTAATAAGAATTGAGAAATGTCATGACTATGATTGATTGGTTTAACACTCGAGGTAGGTATAGTGGTGGAGACTGATGTATATATATTATCATGTGTTTTGCCTCCATAGCGCACACTATTTTTGTCTCCAACTTTAGCCTGCCTGCATCACATATGTAGGAAGCTCGTGAGAGTAACTAATGACATGATTAGGATTTAGCCTATAGGTTCAAGTTGGCAGGTATAAGAAGGATATAAAGCGGGAACTAAATGATTAATAATAGATAGTGAATGATAATTAAAGCATGCATATATATATATATATTTGCTTTAACTTATATGTTTGTGACATGTCTGTTATGTGATGATAACATATTTAATTATTATTTTAATTGTCAGCCCTACTTGACGCCTCTTATAGGAGTTGGTAGGCAAAAAGGGTAGAAGATTTCATTACTGAGATAGTAGTCTCACTTTGTTATATCTACGATTTTTAAGCAAGAGCAATAGTGGAGCTACAAGTGAGAAGGAATTGGAGGCGTAAGGTCACCTTCATTAGTACATACCCCAAATTTTGGTTATGTTTAGTAATTGGTTATTTGCCACTTAGGACATCATTATGCTTCTCTTTTTATAGTTTTTTTATGTTAAAACTATTTATATGTCCTTAATTATAAATTTTATATTGAGAGTCTCGAAGGTCGTAGATCCACGATTTAATATTTCTGAAGATTTCTTTGAAATAAGTTAATTTAGTTTCGTTATATTATTTATTACAAATTGTGTCAATTAGATACATAGAAGGCTTTTTATAATTATTTTAGGAGTACAATTCTTTCCTAATATTGTTATACACAATGGGTAGTAGGATTTTTTTATAACCATGATATGCTGTACCATTGACTAATTGTCTTATTCTTTTATATTATGGTTATATAACAGAGTAAGAAAATCTAGAACAATTTTTATAACCTACTTTCTTTAATTACCATGGTAATGACATTGGCATTCCTTATATGTTTTAAATTTGGCAAGTTTTTAGATAGGTTGTTGCAATGGGAAACAAAGAAAAAGTCATATGGGCCTATCCCTAGTACTGGGAATACGGGCTAACATAGAGCTAAAATTTCAAAAATGTCTCATTTTGCTAAGCTTGGCTTACGGGCTTTTGACTCATTTAAGAAAAAATGTAATTTTTTTTAATATTTTCCATATGTTTTATCAAAAATAAAAATAAAAATAAAAATAAAGTAATGAGATTACTAATAAAAGGCATAAATATAAACAAAATTAAGTCACAAACACAAAACATCATTATATCTAAATATCCATCAACATCCATAAACAAAACAACGACGTCCAAAAATTCCATCAATAGTATAAATGTGCAATAGACAAATACTACCATTAATTTTTTGAAACTTTGTTATCACTATTATCAATTGCTTTTCTTCATATGTATGCTCTTTTTTAGTAGCCAAAAATATCAAGTTGTCCTACTTTATAGAAATTTCACTTATAAATTTTGCGGTATAGCTATTAGTTTACTCTAGTTTAAGATGCATTATTATTGACACTCATAAATTTTTAGTTCAAATTATAGAATAATAAGTTATAGGCAAAATGACAAAAAAACACCTTTTGAATTTTAAAAGGCCAAATAAGTCATGCTGACTACTCTTACAATAGCTTTGACATGTCAAAATCTATCGAAATTACCCATTTATCATTTTAAAATTTAAGAGGTATTTTTTTGTCCATGTTTCTGAGTTATATAAGTACAAAAATACTTTCTTATCAAATATATGCAGTTTAAAAATATCAACACATATAATATAAATCAAATCATTATTAAAGTCCAAATTAACCTATTTTTTAAAAAAATTTAATTAGACAAATTATTGTCCAAAACCAAATAAATCAGGCCATTTTATGAAATTTAATTTCAAAATGATAATCACAACTAAATATTTGAAATATCATTAACAATATAAAAAAATTAATAATATTAACATTATATAAACAATTAAAAAAATTTATAAAAAAAACGTAAATGGGTTGGCTCTCGCCCTGCAGGATCGGCTTATTTAAGTCCTCGACCTTATATGGCCAGCTCTTTTAAGCACATTCTTTATTCGAAGGGAAAAATTCTAAACCTGGCCCTCATAATTTTTTGGGCCTAAATGGCTCTACCCGACGGGCTTGACCTGTTTTTCTGACTCTACCTATCCTTCACTTTGGGACGAATAAGGAGCTGTAAGGGCTTATCCCTCATTATGTGGTTGAATGAACTAACCAATGTGTACTAATGAGAGTCTTATCACATGGTATAACTTCACTTGAATCAATCACCCACATCAAGAATTAAATCAATAACGATATAACCAAAAATGCAATATCAATATTCAATTATCCCAAAATATTCTATAATATTATGCTTCAAAAGTACTAATTATGCGATAATTATTTTTCATTACCACCCGCAAAGCAAGGAAAAAAAAAAATTATCACAAGGTAAACCTTGCACTCAAACTAGCAATCTAATAACTTATCTACCCAATTAATATAATAATATATTAATATATAATCTAGCTAACTAATTAATTGAGCGTATGTTTGTGTATACATGTTAGTTAAAGTTTCTATTATTTATATCCCAAGTTTCCAAAACCAAAGTTTCTATTATTTATATCCCAAATCTCCCGAACCTTTATAACCTAAAATTAAGCCTGTTCATAACAATTTATATTTTTCCTAAAAATTTAGCTTGCTCAGTTAATCCTCAGTCAACCTCTAAATTATTTACTTAAATCAAAATCTCCAAAAGTCTGAAGCCTAAGTTCTTATTCAAGATTCCAACTCCTTATTTCAAATTTAAATCCCAAATTAGGCCGTCAAAAGTTCAATCCATTATTTGATTCAAAGAATATTGTCTCTCACAAATAGTAAGCTTTCTAAGTAATATAATTATTTTAAATTCTCAAATCAACCAATAAATAAAACAAAATCAGGAAAAATAATCTACTAATTTAGCTTTATAATTTTAGGGCCATCTACCATCAAAATTCAATACTCATTCTAAATTTTAATTCCAAAAGTTTACTCTAACCATCCTAATATTATATTTATCAGATAGACCTAGTTGAGTAGAACAATTTTTATGAAAAAAATTTAGTAAACAGAGGTAATTTTACTTACGCGGATGAGTTCGAAAGCTCGAAGGAGGAGAAAAAATGGCCGACCTGCGCGACTGGACAAGAGGAGCGGTTAGAGGAGATGAGCAACGCGTTTTCTCTCTCTTCCCTTGCGATGGTAACATACGATATGAGCTGGGGGGTTTTTGTTTACCCGACGGGGATATTACATCTACTGACCCCGCGTGATAAGGGAGAAAATTGATTTCAGGTCCCCGTTTTAATTTTCTTCCGACCCGTCTTTTGTATGGTTCATTTTACTATTTTTTTTATAATAATAATAATAATTCATTTCATTTGATTATTATTTTGTAATCTCTTATATTTCTATAATAATGTTTTGTGTAAATGCTCTTTACTGACATAACTACATGGTATTTACCATGAGATAATTTTCTTTCCAAATATTTAAATATTAGGAATAAAAAAAATGAAGATGTTACATATGGTTTGGGATCACGTATCATGTTATGGTACAATATAGAATAAATTATGGTATGATATATATATATATATATATAATTGTTTATGTATGTGCTCATTGTTGGTTCTATTGTATTGATAAATATTATGATGAACTATTTTATGAATTATCGTTTCCTAAACACCTCATGGGTTGTACTTGTAAGCACATTAGATAGAATTAGAGTTAATATAACATCTGTCTCACTCTTTTATTTTATGTTTTCAGAAGTGAGCTTTGAAGGAGGACTGGTGGGAAAGGCACCCCAGGCTTATAAAGGCCACAAGAAAAAGCAACATGTCTCCATTCAATGTCATGCCCGTTTCATTTTAATATTGCTGCATTAGGATCATGTACAATTGTAGAATGCATTGCTATTTATTTTTATTGATTCTATGCTCTGTCATAGTGAAGGACTGTGTTTACCGTGATAAATGATGCTAAACTTTAGTTTGTTGTTTTATTTATTACTCCTCCGGTCTTAATATAAGATCTAATTGTTGAGTTAGTTTTGATCCTAAATATAAAACCCATTTTTCATATTTATCACTTTTTTTCTAAATTATCTCTATAAATACTCCTTCAACCATAATCAAATAGAAGAGGAAGAGAGAGTATTAAGAAAGATGATTATGGTATTTTAGGAAAAACGTGTCACATTTCTTATAATTAATTAACTTACCTAATTTTCTTAATCTAATCAAATTAGTTAAATATGTCTTATATTAAGGATCGAAGGAGTATATGATTTTGGAGTGTATACTGGTAGATGAATTAAGACCTTAGGTTTGTGCATGTGATTAAACTATGAGGATCCTCTCCTTATTAAAGGTGATTGACTTGGTGAGTTATTCTAGTTCTTATTGATTTTGTTGGAAGGCTTGAGGCTTGATGTTATATCTTTATAATTATAAATTATAAATTGTTTTATCAGGAGTGTAGATTCTTGATAATAACAATGTTAAACGGGCTGTATTACTATTTAATATGATTTACATGTGACTATTTTGTTGTGTGGTTATTACACTACACAGTGTATGTGATCAGGTATTTGAATAAGTGGATGAATTTTTTATATCCATGATCGTTCGTGTGTTGTGTATTAATTTCTTTTCTATCATTGATATCCACTAGAAAAGAATTTTGTTTCTTTTACATTATTTCTTTGTTTACGTGATGCTTGCTTTTTAGAAGATACCCCAATACTTATATCCTACCATCAATTGCAACTACACAATCCTAAAGATACACATGAATAAAGTTATGAGACAAAATTGATAGCACCTAATACATAAATATCATAATTAAGACTTACCTTAAACCAAGCAAAGTACATTGGCTTATTTCTATCATGCATTGGCTTATTTCTATTGACATAGTGATCTTAACAGTAGTGTGGAATTATTTCAATAAAATGTTGAATACGATCTGAAACCACTTTTGTCTAAGATTATGCCCTATGATGCATAAAAATATTGCAATTTTCTCTCCCAACTTCACATCTCTTGAATCTTCTAAATAACCTCTAGTTCTTACCTTGCTGCATAAACTAATAAAACATCATTGACCAAAAAAAAGACTAATAAAACACTCCTGTTTCCATTCGCAACAATTTGCCGCAAAAAGAAAACATTTTACCTGATAAGATTCATGAACTCTTCTCATTTTGTACTCACCTTTTTCTCTTAATTCATAGTTAATCTGAAAAAGTGTTCTTTCATAATTGAAAATTTTCCTTTGAAATCACTTAAGCAAAGATTTAATAAAAATGTGAAAATCAAAATAAGTACATAAATCAGTCATAAATTTACATCAGTTTGATTAAAACAGATATTTTAAGTCATAAATTAGTCAATAGTCAATTGCATAAAATTTTTTTTAAGCATGGTATGTTCTCTCATCTTTTGTTGGAATAATTTGTCATTTTATAAAAAAAATAAGTACGTAAATTATTTTTTTCAATTAAAAATCTTCACAAAACCGCACAATTATGTTAAATATCCATCTCTGCTACCCAAAATGGAATGGTTGTCCAATTCACTTTTGATCCAATAATATTTTTATTCCGCATAATCTGACGTCGTTGGGTGACCTTGAAGTAAGCTAAAAATAAGAAAAATCAAAACAATGGCAAAAAAAAGTGGCCAGTCCGGTCAGGCTGAGGGGTCCTCGGCGTCCATTACAGTTGAAAGTTGTACAGCTGTTGTCGCCGACTTAGATTCGTGAGGCGACTTGCGGATTCTTCGCCTATGTGACCTATCGATCACAGGTTTGATCCTTTCATCTTCTTTCTCTCCAAATTGCGGCTTCGTACTTGTTTCATTTTCTTTTTCCAAAATTTATTATAGATTTTTGCGATATATCTATGGCTTAGAAGACGAGAGAGCTCACCAAAACCAAAAAAAAGAAGAAAACGAGAGAAAGCGAGCTGGTTGTAACTGAATCGAATCTCATCATTAACAATTTTCTTTCAGAATACTGGTGATTGAAATTCCAACGAAGGTGCAGTGTTTTCATAGATCTCGTCATTCATCTGCGATCTGAGATACAGAGTTGTAAATAGAGTTGTTAAATTGGGTTGTGAAATTGAGCCTGGTGCGGAATTCAATTCTCCCGCTTCTTGCTTGTACAAGCCCTTATTGGCAATAAACCTCAATCATCCATCTTCATCATCGTGGTTTCTTCTTTTTGCACCTATTTTTGGATTGCAGTAAGGGGGAATTTGCCCCTCTTGAGCAGAAGGTGGCTCAGCCCCTGCATCATGTGGTTGCTCGTGTCAGGTTCTCCGTCTGTCCCTTCCTTGCTTGTAAGGTTAATAGTATAAGAGATATGCCGAAGAGTGGGAGTCTTTCCCGAAATTCTACTGGCAGTAGTAATGCTACGATCAATAAGGCATCGTCATTAAGAGTTCTGACACCTCAACAATCTCTTAGACGCTTGGGATTGTGTTCCCAGATAGCAACTGGGGTCCAGCACTCATCTCCTACTGTGTTTCCTGAAAAGCGTGGTAAAGTGAAGGCCTCGAAGAGGAGCAGTGAGGTCAGTGCTCACATAACTGCTCGTGCTGATGATCAGGAAGCAACAAACAATTTTGAGCATAGGATTGACATAGGAGGTGGAGATGAGAAGTCTGATTTGTTGGGATATGTGGTTTTTTCTGGAAAGCTAGTTTTGGATAAGAGAAAGCCTTCGTTGAATAACAACAGCAATGCTCAACAGACGTCTTCTGATACTGCTAGTCAAGAAGCTGTAGATGCCAAACTAACGAGCAAAGTTTTAGTCTGGGGATCTAATGTGCTGCAACTTGATGATATCATTTCGGTAATATATTGCTTCCATTTCAATGGATGATTAAAGACATCTGTACTGATATATCTTCTGGTCATATGGAAGCCAATGATTATAAGACTAATTAATTTTAGTCCATGTTCTAAACAGGTTTCTTATAATGTTGGTCTCAGGCATTTCACTGTTCACTCATACCCAGTGAAAAAGGCAGCATGTGGCTTTTTGAGTTTTACTAAACCTCGAAGAATTCGGAAGGATTTGCGCTTTGTGGCATCAACTGTAGAAGAGGCAGTTCAATGGGTTGGTGGATTTGCAGATCAACAGTGTTTTGTGAATTGTCTCCCTCATCCTTTGGCATCCTCTAAGAAGCAAGCATCCTCAGAATTACTTCCTACAGATACCCCTCCTGAACTGCTCTTTAGATGTAAAAGTCCACCTAAGATGCTTGTGATATTAAACCCACAGTCAGGACGAGGTCGTTCAAGTAAAGTTTTCCATGACATTGTGGAACCAATATTTAAGGTATGTTCCTCTTTGATATTGCCCCATATTATTTAAGCTATATATGTTTGTTGTTTTGCTCATTTAGTCGTGATACACACATTTGATGACGCATTGAAATAGATAGACGGATGGGATTGTCTTGCATTTTTGTGAAGCATCCTGGAGAAGTAACAATTACCTGACATTGACTATTACGGTTTGTTTTCTGTCAATAGGGTGCTCAGTTGCGTTTCTATTCTTGAACCTTTAGGACTGAATTTCTCTTTTGATAAAATAATTTGTGACAAGATAGTGGAATCACAAAAGAGGAGGATAGGAAATCCTGCAAAAGCAACCGAAAAAGAGATGTGACAAGATGCACACCAGCTCAAGATTGATCTACATTTCCCATAGATCCTGCTAAGGAATTTACCTGCTCCCAAAATTGAGTAAACATTTATCAACACATACAAGAAGGCAAAAACACAAGTCTATTCCAAAATCAATGGCTGAAAAGAAATTTCATTGTAAAAACTCTTTATGGTCCATTCTTAAACACCAGTGATGGGAAATTAGAAAAAAGTTTCTGGAGGAACAAGAGATTTTAGTTTAATTTATTATTATGTTTTAGTAATTCTCTTATTTTAACTTGTTAAGTTAGTTTTTCTTTTATGTTATTTTTATTTAGGGTTAAGTTATTATTGCTATTTTAATCATTGTATTTGCATATTTTATAAGTAAACTTTGACGTATTTTCATTGCTGACCTTATTGATTGAATTAATGTTAGTATTAAATCATATATGTCATTGCACACTGCCATCATGTCTTGTTATTTTCCCTCTTCTTCCCTCTTCCCTCTTCTCCTTACCTCTCCTCTCCTCGCATCAACCTCACCATTGGACAAAGCATTGTCAACAAGTAATTCTCTCCTCCTCGTCAAAGTCTGTAAAATGAAGACAAACTAATTGAAGGAATTACAGATAAATCTGATAAGGCCCGAGCACCTGTTGTTGTCAAAACTCACAGGAGACATAAAAGATTGGCTAAAAGGCAGAAAAGGTGGAACTACTGGTGTAGAAGAAAATATAAGGGTTAAGGACCAGAGGAGACAGAAAAGTAGAGGAGTAATACTAGGTAGTCATTATGAAAAAGGTGAAGGAAGCGGTCAGAAAATTGGGAGTGGGTGTATAAAGAGAGGAGATGGGAAAGATGAATGGGGAGAAGAACTTTTAGTTAGGCTTAGGCTTTGTGTGGAGAGAGCCAATCCTCTTGAAAGACTGGCATACCTGTTCAGAGATTCCTTAATATCTGTGTGTGTAGTTTGCGACTTCTATGTATTATCTGCTGTGTTAGCAATCTGAAACTGTATGTTATCCTTTCTCTGTTAGTGTCATTTGCTTCTGTAGTGGGAAAATCTAAGTGGGTTGTCTGTAAGTGTTCTTTATATCAGTGTGTATTGCATTTGGAAGTAATGTATGGGAGCTTTTCTTTTTATTTCCTTTTGTAAATATGTATTTTGTGTATCCAAGGGTAACCTGGGGGAAGCATTTATTGAGGTTTCTATCAAAATCATTCCTCAAAAACATGTTAAAATGGCTACTGGAGCTTTCAAGCAACTTCACTGCCATTATTTTAAATGATTACGGATAGCATACAGAGAAAGTTTCAATGTTGTGCATGTCTCCATATTTATACATAAGGCATGCACTGTGACAGCTTGCAGGTTTTCGATTGGAGGTAGTCAAAACTACATCTGCTGGTCATGCTAAAAAGCTTGCATCAAGTGTTGACATCAGCAGTTGCCCTGATGGTAAAACGACTAAAATTAATTTCGACAACTTTATTTAATTTTCTTGGTTTGCTTATTACATCTTGAGTATTTGATCATATACTGTATTTTTCAAATTGGTTTCCATTTCAGGAATTATATGTGTAGGTGGAGATGGGATAATCAATGAGGTTGGTAACATGCTATTTCAAAGGACCTCTGGTCTTTTTTTCCCCCTGTTCTTTGTTTAATGGACCTATATATGCACATATTTATTGTATGTTTTTAATTTTCAGGGACTCACTGGTCTGGTCCTTTGTGTTGTTTCATTTAGAAAAAAAATATTGTCATCTTTGTGTATTGAATAATTTATGCCACTGCAAAAGTGTATTTCTTCCAGAACATAGGTACAGTATTTATAAGAATGATCCCTAGGTTTAGGAGATTCTAGGATCAACCTATTGATTGCACAATCAGCTGGAAATCAGCCCAAAATAAGTAATTTAAAATTCAAACAGATCTGCCGAGATCCTAGGAGAGAAATCAGGTGAAGATCATCTGAATTAAAGGCAATAAATGATAAATATAGCCAGAGATCAGAGCGGCGTCAACACTCCCCCTCAAGCTAGTGAATAGATGTCTATCATTCCCAGCTCGCTTGTAAGCTCTTCAAACTGTGGCCTTGCTGATGCTTTAGTGAAGATATCTTCCACTCAGCAGTGTGATGGTGCATGAGTTAATTTGATAATTCCTGTGTCCTCCTTTTCTTTTATGAAATGCTTGTCAATATCAACATGCTTGGTTTGTTCATGATGAACTGGGTTCCTTACCATTGCTATGGCAGACATACTATCACATCTTAATCTTATAGGTGTAGTTGGTGTGAATTTCAGCTCCCTTAGCACTCTCAGTATCCACAATCCTTCACATACCCCGTGAGCAATGGCACGCAACTCAGCTTTTGCACTGCTCCTAGAAACAACATTTTGTTTCTTACTTCTCCATGTTAATAGGTTCCCCCATAGCATGGTACAATACCCAGAGGTGGACCTCCTATCAGGGAGAAATCCACCATGATCAGCATAGAAACAATTATTTCTCGAGATATGCCTTTGGCAAAATAGAGTCCTCGTTCTGGAGTCATTTTTAGATAATGCAGAATCCTGCATACTGCATTCATGTATTCCTCTAGAGGCTCATTAGTGAATCTGCTTGCAACTCCAACAGCATAGCTTTTATGGGGGTGTGTATGAGAAAGATAGAGTAGTTTTCCTACCAATTTCTTATACCTTTCAGCATCAACAGGTACTGGTTCCTTTTAGCTTGATTTAGTTTCAATGGTTGCTGGTTGCCTTGAACCATTTAGCTTCTTTCGACTCTCTTCTTGTTTTGTCATGAAAAACACTTCTCATAGGCTAGGCAGTCTCTCTTGGCTCATATTCGCCCTCTTATCTCATCATAGGAGGATGGTAATCCGAGGAACTTGTAAATCCTCTTCTCCTCTTTCATCTTGGCGGCTGAAGTGCATGACCATTCATATATATCATATTGGTCTAGTTACTGCCACAGAGTAACCAAGTTAGTCCAATATTCTGTCATATTTAAATTACCTTTATTGAGTCTGTCTAGGTTTGCTTCTATTTCCAGAAATGCAGCACGATTGTTCAAGGAGGTGAACATATCTCGTGCTACTTCCCAGACCTCTTGGGTAGACTTGAACAAGGTGAAGCTGGTGCTGATCTCTGTGGTCATTGAATTGACCAACCATGATTGAATCATTGAGTCTTCGGCCTCCCAGGTGTTGTACTTTGGGTCCTTCAAGTCTTGCTTCGTTGTCGTACCATTTAGGTACCCAAATTTGCCCTTTCCAGTAACATAGAGGCAAACACCCCCTGCCCACTATAGATAGTTCTGTCCGTTTAAGCAGTGAATAGTGACCTGAGAGGATGTGGTATCGCTTAGTGCTTGGTGGTTCACCAGCATTGTTGATGTATTGTGTGCTGATGGGTGTGAACCACCCTGGCCTTCACCGTCCAGCCCAAAACCGAATCGGATCATTTGTGCTCTGATACCATGAATAATTTATGCCATTGCAAAAGTGTATTTCTTCCAGAACATAGGTACAGTATTTATAGGAATGATCCCTAGGTTTAGCAGATTCTAGGATCAACCTATTGATTACACAATCAGCTGGAAATCAGCCCAAAATAAGTAATTTAAAATTCAAACAGATCTGCTGAGATCCTTGGAGAGAAATCAGGTAAAGATAATCTGAATTAAAGGCAATAAATGATAAATATAGACAGAGATCAGAGTAGCGTCAACATGTATATTGTTTTTTTCCCTTCCCAACAGCCTTTTTGTTGTCTTTGACACAGTCATACCATAAGTAACTACGATATATTAAACGGTTTTAGTATTTACTTTGTTCATTGTGGTAACTCACATGTAGTGCATATAGAGTAATTACAAGATGGCTTTAGTGGAATTATTTCACCGAAGTGTTTTAAATGATATAAATTACTGATATCACTCCAACATTGTCATTGAAATTTAATTTTATAGCTCTGATTTAAATTTTGTTCTTCCGTTGACAATAAATATCTAGGTAACTAAATAACAAAGTACACGTTCATGCTCCTGCAGCTGATATTAAATTTTTTAATTTCACCTGCTGGAGAAGTTATGGGCAAATTGTATTGTAAGACGTGTGATAGAAGGGAGGTCAATTGAGACTGTTGTAGTGGCTTATTGCTGTTACCTGCTATGATAGTTTGAAAGAAGCATAGGGAAAGTCATTTTATTGTCAAAATACTTGCTAAAGATTAAAAATTAAGGGACTAGAATGATTTTTGGTGATAGAAGTGTGGGATGCCATGTTCATGGGTTTAGCATTTTCCCTTCAGCAATGCATTCGACTTACATGGGCTCTAGTTTGTTAGAAGTCCTGCCAAAATATCCAGCTGCTTTACCTGCTATGAATCAAAGTAGAGGTGTGGGATGCCATGTTCATGGTCTTAGTATTTTTTTCCTTTAGTGATGCATTCAACTTATGTGGGCTCTATTTTGTTAGAAGTCCTGGCATAATATCCAGCTGCTTTGCCTGCTGTGAATCAAAGTAGAGGTGTTGTTTTTGCAGCTTCCTTCTGTTCTAACTTTTCTAACTTTTCTTTTTCACTGTGCATTACGTTAGGGCTTTAACAATCACTGTTCCTTGTCTTGGTATTGATGTTTTTCTTACGGGATTTTGTCCATATTGGGGAGAGGGGAGGGCGGACTGGTTTTCATTTTAGCCAATTTCATCATTTGAGTTTTAAATTTTAGTTACTGGTGTTTTTTATTAATTGGATTTTACTTTTACAGCTCAAAAGCTTAAGCTTAAGGGAGAGTGTCGAGAAATCCTATTCTAGAGTTTTTAGTTTAATTATTTTTAAGGAGATTTATGGTCAAGCCATATCATTGTCTGCAAGAGTTTATCTTGGAGTCAATCATCTCTGTCATTAAAGTTTTATGATTATAGGATGAGAAGGGGCTGCCACAACTTGTACTAGAGTTTTCCATGCAGGAAACCTTCACATTCACTGTATTTCAGTTTTTATCTTCTATTTTTGCTAATTTTGACTCATTCCATGTCTTTCTTGCCGTTATTTCAATATTTCAGTCATTTTATGAATATGTTGTTTGATATTTGCACGTGCAACATGTACAAAGAAACCTAGATCAACATTCTCTGTATTCAGGTTTTAAACGGTCTTCTTAGTAGAGATAATCAAAAGGAAGGAATATCTATACCAATTGGAATTGTACCTGCTGGTTCTGATAATTCACTTGTATGGACTGTTCTTGGTGTTCGGGATCCAATTTCTGCAGCAATGGCAATTGTGAAGGTAATGCATGTATTGATATAAAGACACAATTTTTTATGTTTAGAGAATTGGTGGTTTTGTAATTTGATCACATACTATGGTTATTATACAATGCTTGTTTATTTTAGCTCAAGATATTCTCAACCCGAATTTCAGATTCATGTTCTGGACTTCATCAATATTTCTCTGTTTATTGTTATCTTTTTCATTCGTGGGGCGGTGATAGAACTTCTCATTTGATATCAAAGCCTTATGTTGATTGCAAACCTGAAGACTCTTAAATGTTTTGCTGCATATTGATTTACTTTGGTCTTGGTACATAGACTATTATAGGTGCATTGGTAATTCAGATGTAAGAAGTAAAGAGGAGCCAACATTGAATCACCTACCTTTGAGATTGTCACTATTCTTTTCTAGTGTTGTTTTGGGATTGTAGGAAGTCTAGGCATCATTTTTGAATAATCCTTTAATTGTTCCTTGCTTTGGCACATCGTATTCTGTTGAATCAATGATATAGCCGAAAGAGGAATGTGTTGCAGATTTCTGATATAAGCTAAAATCCGAAATGGTTAATGACTGATTATCCTGACCTTCATTTGCTTTGCCTGGTTCAGGGAGGGCTCACTGCTACTGATGTTTTTGCAGTTGAATGGATTCAGACAGGAATTATTCACTTTGGATTGACAGTTTCGTATTATGGTTTTGTTAGTGATGGTAAGCCAATGCAAAACGCGCATGTGCACACAGATGTATGTATGGGCACGCACGCATGCATGACCATATATATATAAATATATATATACCTGTCAAATGACAATCTCTTATTTTGTTGATAATTATTTTCATATAACAACTGAGAAACTTAAATTTTGGAATTATTTTGGTTTCTTCATTAGCTTGTAGGTCCATCTGCAGCTTTATCTGAATCCTTTAATTATTGAAACATAAGGGTGATTCAAGGGGATTTCTTTGTCACTGTACTTTTCGTGCAATATGATGGAACTCGTTGCATGTTTTAAGTGCTTTGATAATAATTTTTTGGGAATCATCGATATGCAAAGAGATTTGATAACTTTGTTGCTTGTATGAACCTTGGTGTTTTCTTTGGAAAGGATTTCAACCACAGGCTTAATGCGTTAATATGTTCACAGCTACGTCACTTGCAAATTATTCTATTAGATAAGCCCACTGTTTATAACTCTTCTATGCCATTATGTTCTTTTGAAGATCTAAGGCCTATATCCTTTGAGGGAATACAATGCAATTTCTGGACATTGCCACTTCAATTACAAGGAAGTATCTAAGCTTTCCTGAGTTTTTCATGTCAAATTTAGTTGCAAGAGCTCTTTTGACCTCGATAACTCATCAAAGTCATCACTAGTCACTATTATATCATCAACATATATTATTAAGATTGTCTTCTTACCATTTTTATGTCTTTCAAATGAGAGTATGATCACTGAATAGCCCAATGTCTTTATTGCTTTAGTAAATCTATTGAACCATGCTCGTAGTAATTGCTTCAGTCCATATAGTGATTTGTACTGTTGACAAACCTTGTTAGGGTTCCCATAGTCTTCAAGCCTGGAGGAATTTCTGTATAAACTTTTGGAGAATTATTCTTAACTGGATGATTTCTATTCCTCTGGAACTGTACAATATATAGAGCAGAGAGACGGAGAAGAGAATCACCGAAATAAATGCATGGGATTACAAAAGAATGGGGAGGATCATAATATTCTATCTACCCATGATTTTCTCCCTAAAATCCTAATCATAGTAGCTATACGATATTTACAGATTTACCACAACACTTCCTCCTCCAAGTCACCAATTAGGAAAGCATTTTCCACATTGATTTGAAAGAGTGACTAGTCTAGATTGATTGCTAAGTATAACAACACCTTTACTGTATTTAACTTCGCGAACAGAAGCACCTTGATTTGGTTCATAGTTTTGGCATTGCCTAGGAGCATTGAGAGCGGCACCTTCACCTCTTTTACCAAAATCTCATCCCTGTGGCTCTCTGGAATGAGATTGAAGGTACTGATCCTTGGATTGTCAGCTACTTGTCTCATTTTGATCTTCTCTTTCCTAGTTTGGTTTTCGTCAGAAGTGGGATTGTTTTTTGTCCTGTTCTAGGTTGTTTCATCCTCAAATTGGATATTTTGAGATGTAAGATGTATATTAGTAGGTTCAGGGATGGGCTGGTGTCAATGGGCTGGTGTCAATGGGCTGGTGTCAATGGGCTGAATGGGGGCAGATGGAACAGATTCAGGTTGCTGGTTGGGTCTAAATGGAGAATAACCCACAAAGATGCACTTAATTTCTCTCGGATCTAGCACCATGGTCATTATGTGCGTAAGTAACACACCCAAACACGTTTTGATAAAGTTATGTAATGAGATGATTGTCAGGGCAGCTTGCACATAATTTCAGTAGAGCAGTTTGGAAGTTTAGAGTCCTAGATGGCATTTGGTTGGTTAGAAAAGGGGCTGTAAGGATGGCCTCTCCCTAGAAAACGTTTTAAAGCATATTGTTTGGTCATATGTCCTTTAACAATCAGCAAGTTTTCTGTAATCAGCTGTGCAAGATGATCACTCAGTGTCATACAGGTCTATTTGCTGTGAAACCTTGATGAGACATGCGTAGATTGATATGCTGTTGTATAGATCAATTTTTCTCCCTTCCCTGTATTCTTTGTTTGGGCTTATAATGAGATTCTCAAGGACCCCTGACTTATTAGCCCAGACGTACAGTAGCTGTTAAAATTTCTAGTGTTGAAAGTTGTTCTCTATCCTAATTTTTTTTTTTTCATGTTTGCTCCCTCAATCTTCCTTTCTTTGTCTCGCTTTTTTTCTTTCTGTTATTTTTATTACTATTACGTGATCATAAGCAAGGGTGCGTCCATGGCTGTGCGTTTACTTCTAGCCACCAGAGCATGGAGAAATACTCTTCCGTACTTGCATGTTCTGTGTTCAGAATTCAGATGCTCCCTCTTCTTTGATACTAAAAAGTTATCAATTACTGTATAAAAAGTAATCTTTGACTCTGTAGATATATTTTATAAAATAAACGGGCCATGCTTCTCAGAAGCTTTATCCATTTCCTCCTCCTTTTTTCCCTCTTTCTAATTTATTTAAACATAAATGATAATATATGTAAACTATGTGGAATTAATTATTCCAAATGGTTTTTATATTTTTTTACTGATGAATATAATTAATTTAAATAATTAAAATATCAGTATGTATTTGAATTGATTTGTATGAATTTTTTATTAGTGATAGTGGATTATTCATTTGAACCCATTATTATTTGATTAGTAACTAACACTTCAATATTTCACACATTTAAATAAGAATCATGGCCTTTATGATATTTTTTCTAGTAAACGTACTTGTACATCTGTTACATTGGAACTAATTTTAAAATTTCAAAAGCACATTTTAATATCGTGCTCAACTGCAAAAATGACTTTATTTTACTAACAGGTTTAAAAAAATTACAAAATACTATTTTCAGAAGCGTTTCTGAAAAGGCACAATAACTTCTCTCATAGGAGAAATAGGAATTAAACTTTTCTGTTTCAATGCAAAAGGAAGGATTGAAGTCACAGACAGTGAGCTATACAAATGAAACATTGATTAAGACCCATTTGATAGGCGATTAAGTGCTTTTGCATTTTTCAATCTGCAGTATTGGAACTTTCCGAGAAATATCAGAAGCGATTTGGTCCACTGAGATATTTTGTTGCTGGATTCCTCAAATTCTTATGCTTGCCGAGGTACAGCTATGAAGTGGAGTATCTTCCAGTGACAAAAGATGAGAGAGAAGGAAAATTTTCTATTGATAATGAAGTAGTTGACATGTCTGACCTGTACACTGACATAATGGCAAGACCAAACAAAGATGGAATACCCAGAGCATCTAGTCTCTCTAGTATTGATTCAATAATGACTCCAAGCCGTGTGTCTGAAGGGGACCTGGATACCTGTCTTGCTCATGCTAACTCTGAGCCTTCGGAGTTGGTTCGTGGTTTAGATCCAAAGTCAAAGCGCCTATCATCTGGAAGGAGCAATGTGACAGCAGAACCAGAAGTCATCCATCCGCAGCTGCCTCTTTCAACAACTCCTAATTGGCCAAGGACCAGATCGAAGTCAAGGACTGATAAAGGATGGACTGGCCTGACTGTTGCTACCACACATGATAATTCTAGGTGCTCATGGGCCAATGCTACAACAAATGATCGAGAGGATATATCATCAACACTGTCTGATCCAGGTCCAATCTGGGATACTGAACCAAAGTGGGACACTGAGCCTCATTGGGATGTTGAAAATAAAATTGAGCTGCCTGGGCCATCAGATGAGACACAAACCGAATCTAAAAAGGAGATTGTGCCCCGCTATGAAAACAAATGGGTTATTTCTAAGGGACAATTCCTTGGTATTCTAGTTTGCAACCATGCCTGCAGAACTGTTCAGAGCTCTCAGGTTGTGGCTCCCAAAGCTGAGCATGATGATGGATCTTTAGATTTGCTCTTGGTTCATGGGAGTGGAAGGCTAAGACTGTTGAGATTCTTCTTGCTTCTACAGATGGGTCGACACCTTTCACTGCCATATGTTGAATATGTCAAGGTATTTTTGCATTAATAATTGATGAATAAGTATTTGGAGAATTTATCTGAGATTCTATACAACATCAGTAGTAAATGTGCCTTATATGATAATAGCACTGACTTTATATCTGTTCAATTTCCCAAGTTCACCGTTCCTTCTTATGCAGGTAAAATCTGTGAGGATAAAGCCTGGGAAGCACACTCATAATGGATGTGGTATTGATGGTGAGCTTTTCCCACTTGATGGCCAAGTCGTTTCTACACTACTTCCAGAACAATGCAGGTTAATTGGTCACTCACATAATACCTCTTACGCATGATAACCTTTAGTTTCTCGTCAATTCCTTGGTGGCTTGTAATATGATCGTGTCTTTTCACTACTGTTACTGAGTTTGTGGATAGTACTGCAAATCCGGATGCCCTATTTGTCTGTCACAACCGTTTTTACTGAACAGGCGAGCTCTGTAAATTTCATGTTCCAGTTATATGTATTGTTGCTGCTTTGTTAACTGTTTTTGTCTTCCTGTCACTATAAGAAAAGTGGCCCTATTTCCCTGGCTTTCAATGAGCTGCTCATTGTACTTTGTGGCGCCATTCCTATCAGTCATATAGCTGCTCCCCCTCTTCCATTTGAAAGCTAATTTGTTTCTCAATATTTCGTCTTTAGTTTTTTTTTTTTTTTTTTTTTGCTGGGTGAACTGCCTTTAGGTTTTTTAATCTCATATCTACACAATTCTTGAATTGAACTGTATCTTTGATTTGGACTCTGAAATAATCCTGTATATTATGTTCCGACATGACATCCTTCTGTATTGATGTTTATCCACAAGTGTGATGATGTTTGTTGCTGCAAGAGAGTGAAGTAGTAAGATTATTTAGGTAATCGGCCACATAATTACCAGATATATTTTGGCCTGATTGTTATGTTTTGATCATAGTATTATTGGCGATATATCATGCGTTTCCCCGTAATGGGCACTATGCGTAGTTCTATTAGCAATTTTTTTTTTTTTTGGTGATTTATATCTTGACAATAAGCTGCTACTCATAAAAATTTTTAGATACAGCTTCGATGTGACATGACATGAAATTATGACTTTGACAAAAAGAGTAAAAAAAAAACAAGAGGAAGAAGTGATTATATGGTGATAAGTATTTATTTTATCGACGGAAGCCCTTGTTTATAAAAGTAAGATAAAATGACTGAAACTAATTCGAATTTATAAGCATGCGCATCAAATACTGTGTGAGATGTCCGTTGGAGCGAAGTATATGGGGTTTGTGTAAGAGGTGATTTTGCTGACAATGGACGGACTTCTCCATCCAAAGAATCTTCTACACGTGTTAATTAAGAGGGTTTGTACTTCCGCATACAGTGCATGGAACAAAAAGAATTAAAACTCTTGCTTGAACAGAGAACGCAGGGGTAAAGTAGAACGGAGAAGGAGCCGCTAGGGAACGGGTGCCAAGGATTTAAGACATTTGAGTGATTGATTTACTTATCCATTTGAATAATGAAAAGTTATTGTTGAAGAGGTAAAGATTCAAGTTGAAATATTCAGAGAAACAGACCTGATATAAATAAATACAAAAAGAACCAAAGCAATTAACCAAACAAGGGCCCATGCCTAGAGCACAGGAAAAGGACGGATCAAAGATAAATTCAGAATAATAAGTAAAAGAAAAAAAACTGATCTTATAGCACAATTATCTCGAAGATTTGCACAAAATCCCCTTGTAATTAGTAGGGGTTTTGCGTTGGAAGATTTAGACGATTAGTGAGATAAACTATGAAACTCCCAAATGGCTAATGCTAGATGCAGTATAGTGCCTTGAACTGCAGATGTCCCTTTCCTCCAGTTTTGATTCAAAGGAATTAGAATGAAATCATGTTATTGATAGAAAGCATATATGATTTTGAAAACCATCTTTGCATCCCAGTTTCCCCATAATAAGTCTTACTTGTCAATATAATAATACGTGAAGTTTTCAATTATTTTATCTTCAATTAAAAAAAAAAATAACACATGGTTACAAAATGGTCTAAAAATATATTGGAATTTTTGAGAGGGTCAATTTATTTATTTTTTCATTATGCCGAAAACTTTTTAATAATCATTTGGGTTTCAGTTTTAATCCAAATTTCGGTTCAATGATAGCTCCGTTTTGATCTGATTTGACAACCATGAAAATAGTTTGGGGCTGATGAATGGTTTCACTAGTTAGGCCGTCCGAGCCGATCCAATTCTTTAATGGGAAAATTTCACTGTAGGACCGCAGAAGACAAAAAATTTCAAAGAGCCCCCAAAACATTCTGAAATCTCACTGCAGGACCAAGGGGCCAATCTGATATTAATTCCACAAGCGAAATGACGCCACTGCCCCTAATGAAGACTTATTTCCTCCGAAAATGAGACATATTATCAGCGGGTGTAAAAGACGGAAGAAAGACGGAAAGGGAGGAGATGGCGTTATTTCCTGCCTCTCCCATGCAGCGCGCCGGTGCGGAAGGGAGATAGCTGACAACCATGAGCTGAGAAAACGCAGTGGCGGAGCTTCACTTTTGCGGTCCGTCCCTCCGCCGTCTTTCGGACTCCAAGCTAGAGTTGGTGCAAGAGAGAGAAGTCGCAAGTGTGCCCTACAGTGTTGCGTGTTCTCTGGAAGTAGCGTCAGGTTGGCGTGGGAGGTAAGATTTTGTTGTTAAAATTTCGGTTTTGTTGGTGTGATTCGGTTAGCACAGGTGGGTTGTGATGGGTGAATGAGGAAGAAATGAGTATTTAAGTGCATGGGCATGTAGGTTGGGAGTGAGTTGCAAATCTTACGGTTTTATGGTTTGAGAAATTCATGCTGATGCTGTTTTAAGTTGTTAAAGATGTGGTGTTTGTGATGTTTTCAAAAGTGGGTGCATATTGAGAATAATGCACTGCTGAAGGAACATAGGTAGGCGAAAAAGAAAGGGAAATGGGTGTGTGGCCTGGAATGGGTTATATGACAGGTAGACGCGCAGAGGAATGGTGAAAATACATAGTACGATGGTAAATTTGGTAATTCTGTTGTGTGCGAGAAAAAGCAATATAATGTTGTGAAAATACTAATTCTTGTTGTCAATTGTCAAATTGCTGATGTAAACGTACGTTGTGTCATACTTGAATGATGTGCAGCAGCAGAGGATAAATGGCTAGCAGTAGTAGGAAACAAGTATTTTGCATCTTTCATGTTAGAGGGCACTTTGTAAAGACCTCAGAAGGGAAATTCATTTATGAAGGGGGCATCATTACTGGAAGATTGATTAGAGAAGGGATGACATATGAAGAACTACAATGCATGGTAGCTCATGATGTGTGGCCAGGGACTCGTGAATATAAAATGAAGTACACAGTTAGCTTTGACCGGGATACATTCTTGGATCTTGTTGACGATATTGGTGTTGGACAAGTAATTGAGTACAACAATAGTAGTGGCCATGTTTATGTTTGTGAGAATGAGAAGACTTCACACAAGTGTCACAGCTGGACAGTGTACAAGAGTAAGTTGTTCTCAACTGGTTTTATTAAGATTGTGTGTAGGATAAGAAAGAATATGTCCAATTTTGATAAATTGAACTGTAATACTGAATAGCTGTATTTGTTTATGCAGGTTAGATGATTTGGTTGGCCCTTGTGGAATGTCAGTATCTGCAATGGAATTGGATCTAGACACAGACAACATAAACATATCTTCCGTACAAGATGTGCCAACACTGATAGGAAGTGTAGGTATGGAAACGTTGCCAACCCCAATAGCGGTGATGAATTCATCAAAGTGGGCAGATTTGTTGATGTCAAGAGGGCAAACCTTTGTTAGTGCTGAACATTTTAGAGAGGCATTATATAAGTATAGCCTTGCACACAAGTTTGGTTACCGGTACGTAAAGAATGATAGGCATAAGATGATTGTGAAGTGCTGTGTAGAGGGTTGTCCCTGGGAAATTTCAGCATATGGTGTAGGTGAGAATAATGGATTCCTAGTTGTGAGAAGATTTAACTATGAACACTTGCATTATGCACAAGACAACTTAGTTGTCCCTCAGAGAAAGAGGTGCAAACTTGCTTCAGCAGTCATAATAGATGAGTTGATTTCTTGCATGCACAAAGCTCCAAATGACATTAGACGGGATTTGGAAAGAGAGTATGGGTTGAGGCTCAACTACCAACAAGCATATAGGGCGAAAGAGAAAGCATTGGAAAAAATTCATGGTTGTCCGCAGGAGTCTTATATGCTAATCCCTTGGATATGTGAAAGGCTGAAGGAAAGTGATCCAGAAACGGTAGCAAAGTGGGTTGCATCATCAGATAATAGATTTCAAGCTGTATTTATTGCATACGGTTGCTGTGTAGAAGGGTTTTTGAAAGGTGGCAGACCTGTATTATATGTGGATGGATGCCACTTGAGTGGTCCGTACAAAGGAACGTTATTGGGAGCACAAGCGTATGACGCGGATAATGAATTATTCCCACTTGCATATGCGATTGTTGGAGGTGAGACGCTTGATGACTGGGCATGGTTTCTTGGTAACATAAAGGATATTACGGGCTCATTAGAAGTGACAATAGTATCGGATAGACACAACTCAATAAAAGGTGCAGTGCAAGCCGTGTTTGGAGGAGATCGACATGCTTTTTGCTACCGTCATGTGAAGGAGAATTACAGTGCTGAGTTTTTGAAGAAAACCAGGGGAAAGAGGAGGACCAGCGGACAGACAAAGGAAGTTGCACTAAAATTACTTGATTCTATTGCATACGCAAGACTTGATAGAGACTTTGATTGCAGTATGGAAAAGCTAATGGCATTTTGTCCAGAATTAGGACAATGGCTTCAAACAAATGGAGACATTGACCGTTGGGCACAAAGCAAATTTCCTTACAAGAGGTGGGACAATATCACAACAAATCTAGCCGAATCCTTTAATGCTTGGCTTGTTGGTGAGAGGAAGCACAACATAGCTGTCTTGATACATGAGCACAGGGAAAAATTGGCAAACAAGATGTACCACAGCAAAGAAGCCATGACGAATTGGAGCAATGGTGTGGGACCTAAGATAGAGGAAAAGTTGATGGATCATGTGGCCAGATCAGAAAGAATGGATGTGCAAAATTATGGAATGAACAATTTTAGGGTCAGATGGGGAAACCTAGATGTGCGGGTAAATCTTGTGTTACGTGAATGTACCTGCAAAGGTTGGCAAATGTCAGGACTACCTTGCCCACATGCGTGTGCTGCAATCAAGAAGGTATATGGTAATATATATGCATATGTCGAGGATTGCTTTTTACTCTCAGCCCAAAAGAAAATTTATGGCAGACTCATGATTCCAGTTGAGACCCATGACATCCCTAGGCCAGATTCCCTTCGATATGAAGATTACTCGTCCACCATCTTCCTACAACCACCATTGACAACTCGGCGTGCTGGAAGACCCAGAGGTAGGAGGATTGAATCACAATTCCAGCAGAAGAAAGCGTATCATTGCTCAGGATGTGGTGAAGCTGGTCACACTAGAAAGATTTGCACTAACCCGAACCCTGGGTGACTTTGTTGCTGAAAATGGTCTTTCATTTTTTTGGTTCAACACACAGCTACTTTTGCACATAAATGAGCCCCACTATGTAGTTGTTGAGTTGTTGGGGAAGTAGCTATGACAACCCATTTTGATTTTTTGGTGGTGGGTTCGATTATATTTTGTATAGTGGTGTCAATAGTTGAAAAATTTCATGACAGTAGGTGACTATAGCTGTCGCAGGATATGTTAGGCTGTAATCTGTCCACATGCGAATGGACTATTTTTAGTTGTAAATATTTGTATGTATGTTGCAAATTGTGTAATGTCACTTGCAAACGGAGATTCCCCTGCCTGTCCACTAACGGACAGCTTCTTCGGGTGAAGGTCATCGTATGTAAATGGACTGATTACAGTTGTGAATATATACATATGTATGTTGCCAATTGTCTAATGTCACTTGCAAATGGTATAAGAAACCATACTTGGACAGCTTCTCCAGGTGAATCAGTCCGCATGCAAATGGACTATTTTTAGTTGTAAATATTTGTATGTATGTTGCAAATTGTGTAATGTCACTTGCAAACGGAGATTCCCCTGCCTGTCCACTAACGGACAGCTTCTTCGGGTGAAGGTCATCGTATGTAAATGGACTGATTACAGTTGTGAATATATACATATGTATGTTGCCAATTGTCTAATGTCACTTGCAAATGGTATAAGAAACCATACTTGGACAGCTTCTCCAGGTGAATCAGTCCGCATGCAAATGGACTATTTTTAGTTGTAAATATTTGTATGTATGTTGCAAATTGTGTAATCTCACTTGCAAACGGAGATTCCCCTGCCTGTCCACTAACGGACAGCTTCTTCGGGTGAAGGTCATCGTATGTAAATGGACTGATTACAGTTGTGAATATATACATATGTATGTTGCCAATTGTCTAATGTCACTTGCAAATGGTATAAGAAACCATACTTGGACAGCTTCTCCAGGTGAATCAGTCCGCATGCAAATGGACTATTTTTAGTTGTAAATATTTGTATGTATGTTGCAAATTGTGTAATCTCACTTGCAAACGGAGATTCCCCTGCCTGTCCACTGACGGACAGCTTCTTCGGGTGAAGGTCGTCATATGTAAATGGACTGATTACAGTTGTGAATATATATATGTATGTTGCCAATTGTCGAATGTCACTTGCAAATGGTATAAGAAACCATACTTGGACAGCTTCTCCAGGTGAATCAGTCCGCATGCAAATGGACTATTTTTAGTTGTAAATATTTGTATGTATGTTGCAAATTGTGTAATCTCACTTGCAAACGGAGATTCCCCTGCCTGTCCACTGACGGACAGCTTCTTCGGGTGAAGGTCGTCATATGTAAATGGACTGATTACAGTTGTGAATATATATATGTATGTTGCCAATTGTCGAATGTCACTTGCAAATGGTATAAGAAACCATACTTGGACAGCTTCTCCAGGTGAATCAGTCCGCATGCAAATGGACTATTTTTAGTTGTAAATATATGTATGTATGTGGCAAATTGTCAAATCTCATTTGCAAATGGGCCCTTGCACAGCTGTTCACCCACGGACACCTCCTTCAGTACGAGTAGGTCAGATGCAAATGGATTATTTATAGTTGTGAAAATATGCATGTATGGTGCGAATTGTCTAGTCCCACGTGTAAATGGGCTGTCCCACACTTAAGGAAGACGCATGCATCAGGTGAATCAGTCCACATGTGAAGCCAAGTATGTGTCTTGCAAATTAGCTAGTCCCCCTTGCCAATATGAACGGACGGATTCCACGTGTGAATATAGGTATGTATTTTATAAATAGGCTAGTTCCCCTTGCAAATGCGCTCTCCCGCACTTGTTCCCTCACGGACACATGCTTCAGCTGGACCAGTCGACATGTGAACGGACTGATTCCACGTGTGAATATAGGTATGTGTTTAGCAAATTGCCTAGTTCCCCTTGCAAATGCGCACCCTGTTCAGGTCAAGGACGGCACATGTAAATGGACTGATTACAGTTGTGAATATATGTATCGGAGTAGCAAATTCCCTAGTTCCTCATGGAAATGGACACCTTATTCAGGTGAAGGAGGGCACTTGCATATTTAAGAGGACACGTTGTTCAGCAGATGAACGACACTTGTGAATGCTCTAATTTCTGTTGTTAACTTATTTGTCTCTCTTGCAAATTGTCTAATCGTTCGTGCAAAGGTCTAATCCCTGATGTAGGTTGTTCAGTTGGAAATGGACGAACATTTGGTGTTAATTCCTGTTTTTTTGGTGCAAATTCCCTAATTTGTGTTGTTAACCGTACATCTAATGAAAGTAAACAAGTAGTGATAATATGAATCCATCAAAACAGTCTTCATTAACATCGTTTGTATGCACAACATTTTAGTCCGCATACAGTGTTCACAACAACAATTACAGTGCTTATCAGCAAAAACTACAAGGTAGGAATTTGATCAGTCATCGCTTTCTCTTGCGTTGTCTGTTAATGTGGTCAAGGTGTTTGGTAACAGCATCTGACTTGATGTTTCTTTGATGCGTCACGAGCCACCACAATAGCTCACACCGTATAGATGTGTATTGATCCTATGGGACAACAACAACTGTTCTCAGTAAGTTGACACAAATGCATGATGTCATTAATATATAATTCAACACCTACTGCTGTATAATAAGGCATGGTGAATAGAACTCCATCCTTCTCTTGTGGGTTGGGCCACTCTCTTAGATATGTGATGACATGAACCCCACAATCATCACTGAAAAAATGAACACATCACTATGCTGCCTTATGTATGTCGATTATAATTTATGACAAATAACTTTCAGTGAACAAAAGACTCACGTATTGTCTTGAACATGAACCGTGGGATACAAGATGTCATTGTTTGAATCTGGGTTGGCCAACCCCTCCAGCTCAGGCTTCACTGTCCTTAGGATTTCAATGAAGTGTGCCCTCTACACAATTACAGATGATTATCACACAGGGGATACTATGGTTGTCCAACACAAAAGTAGCAGAATAATTACACCACTTACAAAAGTTTGCGCCATCATTTGCTGCCCCTTTAATGCTGGATCAGACTTATTCTTCTTCTTTTGGTGCTTCATTGTATCCTCACCACCACGCAGAGAGTCCAGCACATAAAACTTTAGTGTGCTCGGTTCAAACACAAAGCAAAACCAATGCAGTGCAAACACAACAGGTGCAAATATGTATTCACATTCAGCCAAATTGTATCCCACGTGTTGGGGAAGTAGTTCTTTCAGGTGTTTGTCCACTTGCCATGCTGTGTGTTGCTGCACCATCCTTGCCTATCACAACAGCAAATTGCACAGCAATGCAAATTGTCAGTGAAGAAACTGTATCGATAACTTTATTGCACAATTTAAAGCATTGATCCATTAACAGGGGATAGCACTAACCGTGAAATCTGCATCAAATATGTGTCTTTTAACCGCAGAGGCACTCTCATGTTGGTCAGCGTTCAAGGTGTGGGCAATCAGAGTCATGATCTGTAGAATAAAGGAGCAGGAAAATTAAATTAAAATTGTGGCACATTCCATATATGGCCACTTTGATGTAACTTGAATAGGTGCACGTACCCTGTTGCTTATCCACCTTCTGGGACCCAGTGCTTGTAGGTCTGATCGTGTTGCCAAATGCCCAAACATATCTACCATGACCCTACAACAAATATGAAAGTGAAAATAAGTAGTCAGTGTTGCATAGTAGTATTATTCACAGGCTGTCTTTTCCATAATAACTGACTATACTTACTCTTGAGCCTCATCTGGTTGACACCACTCAGTACACACAGTATAAAATGCATCCCTCTCACTCATTTTCACCTTTCTGCCATAAGTAGACATGTAAGGAGATTTAACTGCTGGGACTTTACGTCTACTTGACCTCCTTGTGGGTAGCTGCACTGCTTTGCCCACCATTTTCCCTTCTTCCGTTTGAGCTGCCTGTTCATCTTCAGTATCCTTATCTGCAGCTTCATCTTCTCTCACATTGTCGTTCTCGTCTTCATCTTCCTCTTCTTCTTCTTCTTCTTCTTCTTGCTGTTCATCATCATGCAATTTGTCACCACTTTCATGTGTTTCTCCGCTCTCTACAGTCATAACTTCATCATGTTGTGGCCGCTCATTTTCATCCTCCTCAGTGTGGTGTTCTTTTCCTTCTTCTTCATTGCCTCCCCGGTTAAGAAGTTTATTTTCCAGCTTAACTAATTCATCACAAACTAAGTTTTGAATCTTGGTCATCTCATTGTTCAATGTGGTGTTGAAATTGAGCCAAAACTCCTTAATGTCCTGCACATTGTAAATGTATGTCATCAAACAGATATTAAGTCTCACCAACAGACATTATCACATTGGTATTACTCACCGGATGATGGAAACTTGTACTGCTCCCCGGTTGTGTTGACTCATTCACTTCAGCAGCGGGTGGACTGTAGAAAATGCCATGTCGACTCTCCTTTTCCGCATCAATTCTCCTCTTCACAGCCTTATCATCCCAATGTGTGACGGCGTCTTTGTCTTTTGGTTCACCTCCCTGTAGAGGGAACCTTTGCAGGAAGTGCAACTGCAGAGAAAGAAAAAATATGACTCAAAACTCAAATTACATAATACATCAACAGTTTAATGTTCAAAGCATATCCAACAGGCCATATTTTGTAAGGAAATATGCAAGTACCAATAAAAAGTAGATGCACCCTCCGACGACTCTGGCACTCTCGGTCTGTCCTTCCTTACTGCTCCTATTGTACCGTTTAATTTCCTCACTGAGCTCGTCAAGCACAAAGGAAGCCCAGTCAAATTTTTTCCAGTTATTTTCTGTGCAGGCCATTACTTTTAGCACCTTGTCACTCACACTTGCACTTCCCGTGGGACAAAGAAGAGTGCCCACTGTGAAAAGAACAAAATAGAATTCAAAGTTTCCATCTTCTTCATCACTCTTTATCTTCTCCGCAATTTGAGAATATGTCAGTGGAGTATAGTCCTTCTTCAGCTCATTTACTTCATCCTTGAAGCCATCCAACTTCACTTTGGAGCCCTTATCTGGTAACCCAAGAACCCTCCTAACATCTGTACACGTGACCTTCTTTGTCTTCCCCCTTATGGTAATTTGTTTACTTGGGGGGTCATATGCATGAATCAACTCCAGACATAAATCTCTGGGCAACTTATTCAAAGTAATACCAAGAAGATGACCAAACCCCATTTCTTCTACCTTGCGCTTTAAATTTTCTTTGCCATTTATAAACTTTGCCACTTCCTTGAATTTTGTGGGGGAGCACCGAGTAGAAAATGGGGACACATATTTCTCCTTCTTCTTCTTCTCCTCTATCAGCTGTTCCTCCTTCTTCCTGTACGGCTCCCTGTTAGCATCACTCATCTCCCTCCAAATTGCTGAAGCTGCATCTGTGATTGCTCCCATATTTCCATGCATCTCCTGCTTCTTTTGCTCCCAATATTCTCCCTTGAATACTTTCCAGCCGGTAACTTGTGCGTCCTTTTTTCCCATCTTCTTCCTGTATCCAATAATCACAAAGTCATTAGTTAGTACATTAAACAGCAACATTCATACCATCCAAACATTTCTTGTAACATAAACCCGGAAATTATATACACACTAATTATTATTGTTAAATCCTTAACTTGTCATACGACAGGACATCAAATTGTTACATGCAGGTTAACTGGATAATGACACCATTCTTCGTGTAAATTAGCTAACATTCATTGTCAGGCCACAAAATATCAGATTCCAACTAACATTAAATTATGCAACAGAGGTGGTTAATTAACTACTTTTTCATGTCAATTCCCTAACTTTCACACTCCAACACAGATCAAACAATTACACCGGCGAACAGTCAAAATTCTGCCAATTGCTCATGTCAATTGCCTAATTTTCCCTGTGAGGCCGCTGCAAACCACATTCCCACAAACATGCAATTATGCAGCAGAGGTGGTTAATTAACTAATTTTCGAGGTAAATTTCCTAACTTTCTCAGTCCACCACGCATCAAACAGTTACACATAAGCTAAGTGGAAATCCAGCTCACTCATGGTGTCTATTGCCTAATTTTCCCTGTCAGTCAACTGCACACCAATTTCCCACAAACTTTGTGGGTAATTTACTGATTCTCCATGTAAATTTCCTAACTTGACAGATTCAACAAAAATATGAAACCGTCAGACAGGAGCTGCGCGGATAATCCCCTAAATCCTCTTGTCAATTGACTAATTCCTCCTGTGAGGCCCGCTACGGATCACATGCCAACAAACATGAAATTTTGAATTGAGTTTTTGTTACTTTACTGATTTTTCATGTAAATTCCCTAACTTCCAGAGTCCACCACACATCAACCACTTAAACAGAAGCTAAGTGCAAATTCACCTAATTGCTCGTCTCAATCACCTAATTTTCCCTGTGAGGCCTCTGCAAACCACATTCCCACAAACATGCAATTATGCAGCAGAGGTGGTTAATTAACTAATTTTCGAGGTAAATTTCCTAACTTTCTCAGTCCACCACGCATCAAACAGTTACACATAAGCTAAGTGGAAATCCAGCTCACTCGTGGTGTCAATTGCCTAATTTTCCCTGTCAGTCAACTGCACACCAATTTCCCACAAACTTTGTGGGTAATTTACTGATTCTCCATGTAAATTTCCTAACTTGACAGATTCAACAAAAATATGAAACCGTCAGACAGGAGCTGCGCGGATAATCCCCTAAATCCTCGTGTCAATTGACTAATTCCTCCTGTGAGGCCCGCTACGGATCACATGCCAACAAACATGAAATTTTGAATTGCCAGTTGTTACTTTACTGATTTTTCATGTAAATTCCCTAACTTCCAGAGTCCACCACACATCAACCACTTAAACAGAAGCTAAGTGCAAATTCACCTAATTGCTCGTCTCAATCACCTAATTTTCCCTGTGAGGCCGCTGCAAACCACATTCCCACAAACATGCAATTATGCAGCAGAGGTGGTTAATTAACTAATTTTCGAGGTAAATTTCCTAACTTTCTCAGTCCACCACGCATCAAACAGTTACACATAAGCTAAGTGGAAATCCAGCTCACTCGTGGTGTCAATTGCCTAATTTTCCCTGTCAGGCAACTGCACACCAATTTCCCACAAACTTTCTGGGTAATTTACTGATTCTCCATGTAAATTTCCTAACTTGACAGATTCCCGGAAACATGAAAACTGTTTGACATAAGCTAACTGGATAAACCCCTAATTCCTCGTGTCAATTTCCTAATTTTCCTTGCGAGGCCACTACAAATCAGATTCCAACAAACATAGCTGGTAATTTACTGATTCTTCGTGTAAATTGCCTAAGTTGACAGATATATGCACACATGAGGTTGTCACATGCAACTGGTTAGTCAACTAATTCTTCACGTCAATTGACTAACTCCCATTGTTAGCCCACAAAATCTCACATTCCAACGATCAACGGGATAAACCAAACAAAACAAACTCATTTGCCTAATCCATACGACAACATTTGCCCCTCCCAATTCTTTTCCTTATTCCTGCAAAATGCCTACAAACACTATAGCAATGCAGTTAACTACCAACACTAATTTTTCCCTAAATAATTAATAACTTTCTTATTTAGCCCCCACACAAACTCTTCATGCTACACTCACAAGCGTTCGCTCACTAAATCAGGAGCATTTGCTAAAGGGCAGTCAGGGAAATGGCCGAACACTATGTGACACATTGGTAATCATTCCTGGGTTAGAACCTAAATGTCATTACCAAACACACCCACCTTTCAGTGGGTCATTCCTCCTTAACCTACCATGAAAACAAAATGCAAGAAATCTACTGCATTTAACGGGGACCGCGAAGCTTACCAAATGGAAATCAGTGACTTCTTCTCGCCCTGCTTCTTCCTTCTTTGTCGATAGCCTTGCAAGTTTCCTCCTTTGTCGGCCTCTTCTTATTCTCCTTCCGCTTCTAGTGATTACCACGAACCCGCAGATTGAAGCTGATAGAATTTTTGGGGGCCACGTCGAACACTTTTCGCAGATTGCGAGAGGCAGGAATCTTCCCACAGAGGTAGCACGTTCGCAGTCGGGAGAGGGCAGATTTTTCGTAGAGTGGTAGCACGTTCGCAGACCGAGAGACGCAGCAGTTTTCCCAGAGTGGTTGCACGTTCGCAGAGCGGGAGAGGGAACACTTTTCGCACACGGGTTACGTTCGCATATAGAGAGAGAGCGGGAGGACTTTTGACCGTCGCTTTTTCGCCTTATTTTCAAATTTCAGCGGAAGTAAAATGAGGGGCAGTGGCGTCATTTCGCTTGTGGAATTAATATCAGATTGGCCCCTTGGTCCTGCAGTGAGATTTCAGAATGTTTTGGGGGCTCTTTGAAATTTTTTGTCTTCTGCGGTCCTACAGTGAAATTTTCCCTTCTTTAATCATTGGACAAGACACCAAAAACATATTGCTTTGGAAATGAAGATATTGTAGCTAAAACATGATTTAAAGTTTCCTGTTTTAAGAAGCTAAAGGAAAACCATAATTAACATCTAGGTGATGAATTATGAAGAAACTACTATATGAAAAGTAGATACTTAAGGGGAAGCGAAATTTCCCATAAAAAGACCATATGCCATAGAATTTAACACTAAAGGAAAAATGTTACTCCTCCAGTCTTTAATATAGTGTTAGATTTAAGGTTTTGATGATAATAGATTAAGGAATCTGTGTTTTAGTTAGCTGATCGATCACCTAATCAATCAAGGGTTATCGATCACATGATAGATAAAGTTCCTGTGTAAACAAATAACTTAGCAGAAATGTTAATCGATAACCTGATAGATAAATCAATTTATATGTGTTGATCGATTAATTGATCGATCATTGTTAACAATGTTTTGTATAGAAGTCTGTAGAAAATTATTGATCAATTGATCAATAATCTAATAATCGAACAATTGACAGATAATGGGATACAATTTTTGGTAAGTATTTATTGATCACATGATTGATAAATAAGTCATCGATGAGAAGACAGAAAAATGGTAAAGCTTCCTATTCTCGTTGTATTTTGTCTCAATCACCAATTATCTATCATTTTATCAATCACAGCTCTATCGATAACTTATTCTGTCATTGCATAATAACTTACCCGTTTATCGATATTTTCCTTCTGTTTAAGTGTTTTGAAAAATACTTTATCAATCACTTGATGGATCAATAGTTTGTCGATCAAATGATCAATCATTACCCTTTTACTGGTTTAAACTGTGTTAAGCATTTCTTCGATCACTTGATCGATCATTGATTTATCGATAAAATGATCGATCATCCATTCTTCTGAATGTTCTATTTTCACATAACGTGATTGATCAAACATTTTCCTGGCATTTCAAAACTAAGTTTCTCAACTATATTTTTATCAAGATCACTTACTCGATTATCATAGGATTTGTGCTCTTTGTGAAAATCTTTGTTCAACCTCTTTTTATCGATCAAATTTTTTGTCATCCATTTATCGATAAAGTATTCAATCAATGTATCTTGAAAATCAAATTCTCTTCTTCTTATCTTTATCGATAACCTGATCGATCAAACATTTTTTGATTACTTATTCGATCAATGATTCAGTTCTTTCAATAACAAGAAGCTACGGTAAAATCCAAAAATTTTCTGAATATTTCTCTTCGAATTTTTCTGAGCCTTACTATTTATCTTAATTCTCTATTTTGAGGGATTCAAAATCATAAGTGATCTTGAGCCTTTTCTCTAGATGATTTTTCTCAAGTCACTTTTTTCATTTATCGATCATTTGATCGATCATGAGTTAATCCATAACATGTTCGATAAACATAGTTATCTGTTTCAAGATCTTTCATCTTAATTAATCGATAACACAATCGATAAACCATTTATCGATCATGACTTTGATCAAGGATGTTCATTTCATAGTTATTGGATCTGATGTTTGATTAATTCCCTTCTCATCTACCATATGAATATTATTATCATTTGATCAGTTATCTTCCTGAGTTTCATTCTGAATGAAAATCTTATTAGATTGAAGTATTGATACAGAATACGAAGCAAGCTCAACGGTTATTTAAGTAACTTGTAACCTACCATGTCAAAAGCATTAATGGCGAATACTGTTGCAATTGGGAAAACACGCTACTGAACTCTCAATGGCTAGAAGCTCTTCCGTCTAACGGTTATTTCTCTTCCTAAAATGCTCACTTTTGCTAAAATCCTAAATTCCTAATAGTTTATAAAAACAAAAACCATTTTCCTTTCCTTAAGGGTTTTTCTACTTGTCATAGGAATTAGGAAATATCTTGAATATTTATGGGGCTCTTTTTAATCCCATAATCTCTTATAATTCTTTGGGATGTCATATAAATTTTCTTGAATTTTATTTTCCTTCCACATATTTATTTAGAATTTTCCCAAATAAAATGCAATATTAGCCTAATTCCCTTTTAAATTCCTTTGTAATTTTTCTAGGGGTAATTTGAAAATATTTTTCTTATTTTTTCTTAATTTTCTGAGGTTTGAAAATATTTTTTCATCATTATTTTTGAGTAATTTTTCTAATTAGTCAATATTCAATAATTATTGCTTTCCATCATAATTTCAAAATTTTCTCTACCTTCCATAATTATTTGCTAAATTTTGGGAATTTCTAACATATTTTTCTCAAATTTTCATATTTCTTCTACTATTCTGGCCCTTAAATGTCCAAGGATTTCTTTACTCTTAATTATAGAATTTTTGAGTGTGACAGTTTGGAGTATTAAAATTCTAATTCCTCCCTCCACAACCATAATCATGGCATTGATTGGGTGAATAGCCCACCATAACCATCCTTACATCCAACCTTTAGACCACATCATGAGCATACCTTTCTACCTCTCATAACTCATACTTTGACTCCATTTCCCCTACCACATAGACTACCATTTGAAGTACTTTCCTTATCATATGAACCCTATCATCAATCACCATTCATGTCATATGAACTTACCTTCCAATTACTAATCATCACCTTGTGAACCTTTTCTACCACCATATCTCCTACGTCTACCCCAACCTCTTTGGTCTCAAACTAGTAGGCTAGTTGCATTCATACCTACCCCAAACATAGACAACCATAGATGTGCTCTAAAAGAAAAGCATGAACATTGTAATGCACGACATCAGAAATTGTTCATGGAGAAGATGATGTTTAGGATCTCAAACGAATTGGATGAGAAATTTGAGGAGATTAGGGAACATATATGCAAGTTTGTCCAACATGTGTTATTGAATAAGATGGAAGGGGAGGAAGGAACACTTTGGCCCTGTGAGCTACAAGAAGAAGAACAAGGAACCCAAGACAAAATGCTAGATCCCACTTTACTTACGGAGAGTTTCAAACCTCTCATAGTCACACAAACTACTGTGGTGAAGTAAGCATGTTATTAGACAAAATCAAAATTAAATACCCCTAGAGAACTCTAAGTACAATTATTTATTTCACAAAACATCTAGGAACCTAGGAATCTAGAATCCACTTTGCTTGTAAATCCAATCATCAATCATATCTTTGAAAAATAGAATTATCAAACAAGAATTATTCTATGAAAAGTTTCTAACAAATATTTTATTAATATCGACAACAATGCAATTTAACTATGAACTTAATAGAAAAACATGAGTTGAACATACAAAGGAAGAGTGATATGAATGAAGAACTTCAAATTATATTCAAAAGAAAGGATTAAAATGTTTGATCACAAATTTATTCAAAACAACATAAATAAGTTCATAAAGCAATTATCAAAACATAGAACTATGAAACCATTAAAACACATTATGAAAAAGATCAAAGTAAGAAAACTACCACAACTTTTTACTTACAAAACATGAAACCCGAGTCATTACGTCATGCCTCAACAATTAGAAGGAAGGAGGAGAAATTATGAAGAGGAAGAGGGGTAAAGAAGATGTGGTGATGGTGTTGGTGTTGGTAAGGTGGAGATTTATGAAGATGTTGAGATATTGAAAAGTCCTTTCTTAAACTCCCTGTAGTTCCTTAAATCCTTTTTGTATGCACCTACAAGTGTTACATTCAAGTGGATCATGAAATAAGCCCATGATTGAAAATTTGAAATTTGATTCTTGGGTTACTATTTATTAATAAATTTCAGATTTTTTGTCAAACTTTGAAAATTCATAACTAATTATAGAAAAATTACATTGTGTAACACCTCCCCTTTAGACCACATAACCTTTCAAATAGAACCATTTGAAACCACTTCTTAAGGCCTTGAGTTAGAAAAATTCAAACTTAAAAATTATATAAATTTGGGTTACTATTTATGTAACCCTAAACCAAGGCTAAACTTTGAAAAATCATAACTAGTTCTAGAAAAATCAAAATGAAGTGAATCCAAGTTCTACTTAAATCTATTAACATGATCTTTAGAGAAAAATTGCTCTCTAGTATTAAGCCTTTATCAATCATTTACAAAGTTCACACAAAGAAGCATTGTTCATTTGGTAAATTTACAATTTTTTTAGAATTTATGCCTAACTTTGGATAAGCATAACTTTTTGTGCAAAACTTCAATTTTGATGAATTACCCCTTTTTTTAAAGCTAAAATAATGTTCTATACATCTGCCAAGTCTCAGGCCAAAACTCATTCGTTTGAAAAGAATTACATTGGCATGAAGTTTCACCATTGAAAGGGCTATT